GGCAAGCTTTTTTACTTCCCCCCCTCCCCGAGGGAGGAGCAGCCTTGCTAGGTCACAGAGGAGGACTTTGCAGCTAGTTCTGAAAACACCTGATAAACCAGGGTCAGATGAAAGGGGAGGATGTCCTCCCCTATCAGTGGACTTGGAAGTGACAAGGAGGAGATGAGGTAGGGAGTATGGGATTGGGAGGGAATGAGGGAGTGGGATACAGCTGGGATACAAAATTAATAAGCTGTAACTAATATTAAAAAATAAATAAAAAAGAAAAAAAAAGTCAAGAGTGAAAAAAAGTTTCTTTGATTCTAATCCCTTCTCAGTAGAAAATATACAGTTCAGTGTCTTTCTATGTAGATTAGATGAAGAAAATATTACAATCTAATATTCAAAGGGCCTGATTTTACAGTTTAAAAATTCATTTATGTTTAAATTTTCTAAAAATACGAAGATGCTTGTTATGATTTTTCACTTCTTATGGAATAATCTAAGGAGGGATAAATAAGAGAAACAAGTACATTCAAGTAAAAGTAATGAATATTTTTCTACTGTCACAATCTATCATATTTTTGTCTGTGTATCTATTATCTACTTAACTATGTATCCATCATTCTCACATCCATCCATCCACCTAACAACTTTTTATCTCTCCACCCTCCTACCTACCTTCATAAACAGACAGAATGCAATTAGCCATCTTAATGAAGTAAATCTGTGCATGTTGAAAATAATGTAACATTAGGCTTCAGTTTTGTGTACCTGTAGTTCTGATGTGGAGGAGGCAGAAAGATGTCTTGAATTCAGTCACCCAAGGCTAGCCTCGGTAACCTAGTAGCCTTGTGTGAACCACCAACAACAAAATGATCAATATTCCTTTGATAGCACTGACATATTATCACAACAATAATAATAATGGTTCAATATATAATAAAGTTTCAAATATCTCTGAGGAACCAACCCATGATTCAATTTGTTAATATGCTACAATGAGAGATTTGATTTAAAAAATACCCTTCAACAGAATGAAAATGAAATTTAAGTTCTTGAACAATGGCAGTTTCATTATCTGCTCCAGAATGAAATTTTCTATTTTGACCACAATTAAAAGAAAAAAAAATTCTGAATGAGATTTAAACATACTACCTAGCATCTCCCATACTATTTAGTTTCTTTAGATCTGTAGATGGTTATCCTATATCATACAGCTAATATCCACTTATAAGTGACTATATACCATGCCTATCTTTCTGCTTCTGGGTTACCTCACTCAGGATGATCTCTTCTAGTTGCATCCATTTGTCTGTAAATTTCATGATTTCCTTGTTTTTAATAGCTGAGTAGTATTTCATTGTGTAGATGTATAACAATTTCTATATCCATTCCTCCTTTGAAGGACATCTAGGTTCTTTCCAGATTCTGGCTATTACAAATAAAGCTTCTATGAACATAGCTAAGTAAATGTGCTTATTGAGTTGTGGGGCATTTTTTGGGTATATGCCTTGGAGTGGTATAGCTGGATCTTGGGGTAGCACTATTCCTAATATTCTGAGAAAGTGTCAGATTGGTTTTAAAAGTGGTTATACAAGTTTGTACTCCTACCAGCAATGGAAGAAGGTTTCCTTTTCTCCACGTCCTCATTCAGAATGGCAAACAGGTTAGACACCAGAAGCAGTGGAAGAGAGGAAACAAGATGGGAGCCTACTATAGAGGGTCCTCTGAAAGGATCCAACCAGCAGGGGATCAAAGCAGATGCAGAGACTCACAGCCAAACTGGGCAGAGCTCAGGGAGTCTTATGGAAGAAGAAGGGTGTGGAGTTAGAGGGACATGGAGATAATAAGAGCCCCACAAAGAGACCAAGAAAGTTAAAGTATCTGAGTCCAGGGGGTCCTGCAGAGAATGATGTACCAACAGAGGACCATGCATGGAGAGGACCTAGACCCCTTGCTCAGATATGGCCTATTGGCAGCTCAGTCTCCATGTGGATCTCTGAGTGAGGGGAGCAGGGGCTGCCTCTATCATGAACTAGGTTGCTTGCTCTTTGATCACTTGGTCCTGGTGATGTGGCCTTACCAAGGCATGGAGGAAGAGAATCCACACAGTCTTGATGGCACTTAACAAGGTATAGGCAGAAGGGCAATAGTGGAGAACTCTCCCTTTCAGTGGACTAGGGAAAAGAGATGTGGGGGGAAGTGAAAGGGAGGGTGGGACTTGGGAGAGTTGAGGGAGGAGGCTTCACTTGGCATATATAATGAATAAATTATGTAGAAAAAATTAAAATTGAAAGAAAAAAAACAGTCAATACAAAAACAGCAAGATTCCAAGAGAGTGAAGAAACAAAGGAAGCACCACATAGATAAATAATTGTGGTTCTTTTGTACATCACATTGTATAATAAATACACTTCATGCGAATATTGGCAGATATTTATAGCAAAGACATTCTAGTCTTTGTTATAAAATGGTTTAACAATAGGACATTATCTAAATTATCATACTTTTCTATCCACAAACTTCCAAGTGAATCTAAAGTAGACTACCAGGAAAGAAAAGGGAGGCAAAAATAATTACAAGGAAAACAGCATGTTATCCTTTGAAAACTTGTTGAAGAAAATACATTTTCTTGACAGTCTCACATATACACATGGACATCTGAGACAAGTACAAGACAATATTATTTTAAGAAATTAAAATTTTTACATCTATTTAAGAGCCTGACTTCTCATATCTTGTGATGAGTGGAATATTTGTGTGGGGACATTCAAATAGTACTTATACCTCAGTTAAACTAGTAAAGGGCAAACAATAAAACTGTACTTGAACATATTCATTCAGGAAGTTAATGGGTCAGGTGAGCACTCTATTTTCTGGTAGTTGTAGGGAAGAAAGACATCCACTTTTATTTCCAAAGGGACCAGATCTGGAAACTCAGAAGGGACATCCATATAAGCAAAAGTCTGTGTTCTTTTACTTCATATTACTCACAAACTTGAAAAGGTAAAAATTCCACTGTTCTCAAACATTAATAAAGATGATAGTCTAAAGAAAAATGCTCAGCTATACAACAAGGTCATTTGCTCAATCATGTTCATAACAGCTCTATTCATAATAGCCAGAATCTGGAAACAACCAGGTTTTCCTCAACTGACTAATGGATACAGAAATTGTGGTACATTTACACAATGGAATACTACTCAGCAATTAAAAATTAACAAGAAAATCATGAAATATGCGGGCAAATGGTGGGAACTGGCCCGAGAGCCCCTGCAGTGACATATACCTCAACCAAGGACCATGCATGAAGATGACTTAAAACCCCTTCTCAGATGTAGCCCATAGACTGAGTCTCCAAGTGAGTCCCCTATTAAGGGGAGCAGAGGCTCGCTCTGGAATGAACTTAGTGTCTGGCTCTTTAATCACCTCCCCCTGGGGGAATGCAGCCTTACCAGGCCACATAGGAAGACAATGCAGCCATTCCTGATGAGACCTGATAAGCTACATTTAGATGCAAGGGGAAGAAGGCCTCCTCTATCAGTGGACTAGGGGAGGGGCAGAGGAGGAGAAGGAGGGAGGATGGGACTGAGAAGAAATGGAGATGAAGGCAGAGGTTATAGCCAGGATACAAAGTGAATAAATTGTAATAAATAAATAGATAGATAGATAGATAGGTAGATAAGTAGATAAATAGATGGATAGGTGATAGATATATAGATAGATCTATAATACACAACACACACAAAAGAACAATGTATTTTAAAATTATACTGTGAAATATTGAAAAGAGAAGCAATCCTTGGTTATAGTTGTCATTTATCTGGGAAAGGTAACATTATTTTAATTTAGTGTAAGTAGCTATTATTAAGGATTTAACTTTTGTCATAGTTATGTATTTTTCATTGATGTATTTCACCATCATCTTTCCCAAAAGGTGATATATAATGAATTCAAGTTCTGCACATCCTTTAACAATACTGACTTAATTATCAGAAAATAAGCTTGATCCAAAGATAGACCTATGATCCCTGTCTTTTATGGTAGAGGACCCTACTTTAACACCACTTTCTAGATAGGTGTAGTTACTATCTATATCACTAAAAAAAAAAAAAGTGAGATTTCCCTTAAGTTTACTTATTTTAATTACTGAACTTATTAAGGATTTATGTTTTACAAAGTCATCTTTACTAGATTATAAATCATTCTGTTTTATATGTTGACAAAAGTATTATGGCATTCAATATTGTGTGTCTCCATCTAGTTCTATTTACAAAAAAAATTTTGATTTTACAGATAAGTTATATGAACATATTCATCAACAATTATTCATTGAGCTTGTATTTCATGAAAGAGACTGCTGCATTGCAACAGTAAGTTCTAACTTGTGTGTGAAGATAAACTTATTGCTCTTAAAGAATCTGCCATTACTCACTACGTGGTAGAGGGAGAAGCTGATGGAGATTTGAGTATTTGAACATATCATAAAATTATAAAGATGCCAGCAATGGACCTAGAAGTAAGGTCCTACATCTAATTATTCTGCTCATATTCGAGGGTGAAGAAACTGGGGAAGGCTAGTTTGTTAGGAATCTAGTAAGCTCTTGAAACAAATAAAATACATTGGAGCCATCATTTCTAAGGATAATTGTAGTCCCCTTTTCATCATGTTAAAGGAAGAAAACCATGTATTGTCTTTTCTCAGCAACACTTAATGGGCATTTTGTCAAGAAGTTTAAATGAATATATGCTTTCATAAAATCTCCTTGAGAACCTTTATTCATTCCAATAAGATCAACCGTATTTCATGGAGTCCAACTCTGACTATTAAAAGGGTTAATTTAAATTGCTAAAAGCTGCACAGCTAGCATGGATTAAAATGCTGCCCTAGAAAGTATAGCACTGAATACTTGTTATTAACTTACTAATATAGCTATCTTTACTTAGAAGTAGGGTTCATGGTCCTACCTGCATTTTACACCCTCAAAATGTTCACGAAGTGTCATAGGACCCATTAGTTATGTACCCACCTGCATGCGGGAAGAGCCCACAGTGTGGCTTTCCCAGCTTTTGGGGGGTTTTGCTTTTGCACTGCTCGATGCCCACTTGGTCAATGGAGAGCCGAATGGGTCACTTGCCAGTGCTACAAAGAGCAAAGCTATTAGTATAGTCGTGTCCTCTGTGCAGAGGGAGCTGCTTGTGGGAGGTGCTGAAACTGGAAACATAGAAATCAATGCTGTTTTCACTTGGCAGGGTGACCTAGTCAACTTCAGGAGAAAGAAATGTTAGTTGGAACTTAGGTGAGTTTGAGTGCAGAGTGGCAGTACAGTCACTGCTAGTTGTAGGAGCTTAGAAAACTTGTCCAAGGTCTCTTAGTCTTTTTTTTTCTTCATATGTTGAATAAGATCAATAATATTTTCATGGTTGATTGTCATGAGAATTACAGGGGAAATGTGTACCATCCAGTGCTGTACCCACTAAATAATATCTCTTGTCATAGATACCTCTCACTGAAGTCTGAAACTTCTCACTGAAGTCTGCTTTTTTGAATCATCTCATGTGAAACATTTATTTTAAAACTTATCAAGCATTTTTTTAAAGAATGTTATTTTTAACTCTGTGTGTGTGTGTGTGTGTGTGTGTGTGTGTGTGTAAGTTCTGCCATAGGCCAGAAGAGGGCTGTTTGTCCCCTGGAGCTGGAGTTACAGGAGGTTGCCAGTTACCTAACTCAGATCCCTTGGAAAAGCAGCAGGAACTTTTAACTGCTGTGCCCTCTTCAGTACCAGGAAGTTATTTATTGTTAGTAGTTTTATATATTTCCATTCCTTGTATAATTCTACCTTCAAAAAAAAATTTCTTTGTATTGCATTGATTATATTGACTTAAAGGTGGGGTGACTACTTACAACTGTGTAACATTTCCTGTACTTCAATTGTGCTAATGACAATGATACATCTTTCCTTGCACCTGGGTAGACCTCACTTTCTCCCTAATGTAGGAAAACAGAACAAAATTCATTTCCAGCATATTTCATTTTTCCCTTATTGGTTATAAATGAAAACTTGCCACTTGGAGCTTACTTTAGCAAATAATCATTATCCCACCCTCCATGATTTGGTTCATTAGATCAGCAACTATTCATTAGTAAATTTTTATGAAGCATGCACAACATTAAATACTATACCAAACAAAACACACCTACCCAATATCCCCTGTAGTTCTGCCATGCTGAATGTTCCCTACTTGGATACTCAGCCACCTGAGTTCTACAAGTGTGGCCTCAGTGCACAGAATGGGATTAATTATAACCCTTAATGTGGTGAATCACTATTATCTTCGCACCACCCATGGCTCTCTTGTTATAATTAAATTGTTATTTAAAATTATGCACTGTGAACATCCAATTTTAGGAGATAATGCCAACATTTTCCCAAGTATTTTGTACAGATTTGTATATTTGCCAGAAATCTATAATAGATCTACTTGTTTCATCTTCCTATAAATACTTGATTCTTTTAAACATTTACATGTTTATCAGTATAGTCAATATGAAATGTTCCCTTTTTGATTTATTTTCTTTACTCTGTGAGGGTGTTTTTAACCACAGACTGAGGATTGTTGTTTTTTTCTTCCTAGAGACTAAATGTTTTTCTTCCTAGAGACTAAATGTTTAAGCAAATAAGAAAAACAAAAACAATTTAAAAATAAATATTGATCTAATCTAAGAGTATATAAACAACTATACTTCAGGAATGAAAGTACACAAACTAGAACGTGACTCTCAAAAGGATATTTTCCACTCTTAAATACTAAAAGAGTGGCAAATTAAAGAAAAAAATAGAAATTATTTTGATGACATATATCTTTAATCCCAACAATGTTAGGCAGATCTCTGTGTGAGTTCTAAGGCAGCCTTGTCTATATAGTGAGACACTGTTTCTAAAACAAAACAGTATTGAGGTGCAACCTTGCCAAGCCACTGAGGAAGATGATGCAGGCTAGGGTCAGATAGAAGGGGAGGAGGTCTTCCCCTATCAGAGGACTAGAGAAAGGGCATAGGCGAAGAAGAGGGAGGGTGGGTGGGACTGGGAGGAGATGAGGGAGGGTACTGCAGTGGGGATACAAAGTGAATAAATCATAATATATAAATAAATAAAATTTAATTAAAAACTTTAATAACAAAAAAGTCTTTGATCAAATAGGAAGATTGACATAGTGCCTACCATAGGTATCCGTGCAAAAGTCTTGAATACATAGGAAATAGATGCCTAATGAGATGAAAGAAGTAACTGCAAAATAGGGAGATGCTACATGCTAAATGATAGGGGAACTTTCTGAAGAAACTTCAGCTGAAATGCAGACTTCAGTGGTCCTCTACCATTTTGTATACGCACAATCCTATTACTTAGGGCACATTATTTTATTGTTTCTTTCTAGTTAACTGATCTCATCTCTCCAATAAAATCTGAAAACCTTGAGAGGCCAGAGACCTTGCTGAACATTTTGTTGTTAAATCCCGATAGTGCTGACAGCATAACAGTTCTCTTTAACTGTTTCAAGGATATTTTTGTATTATTATCCAACTATCATCCTGCTATTTTATTCTCATCATTCTTTGTTGTAACCATCATAGTCAAAAAGAGAAGGAAAAGAAACCTGCAATTTGATCAAGAAACACTAAGTAATAGTTCCAGAGTCTTCTTATAGTCAAATGTTTATGACAAATTGTGTGAAAACTTCTGAATAATTTAGAGCAATAAACAACATATTTTCTCTGTAGCAAAGGTGCTTTGATGTGTTAATTGGAATGTATTGCTTTTTGCAAAAGTAGGTTACATCACTTTTAGTTTTAATGCAAATTTAATGCATATTAATATGAAGAGTCAAATTAACACTATTGGATTTATACATTTTTGAAAAACCATAAACTGAGAACTTTATGTTCTTATGGCATGAATATCATAAAATATAATGAAAATGGAGCTTCTGGATCTGTATTTGCCAATAATTACTATTCAAATAGTCACTGACTTTCCTCTGAAGACTTTAGAGAGCCTGACTATCCTCTTCCTTTCCTGTAATTTCATGAATATTCTGTCTCACAACTATAACTGTGCCATAGGGATTCAAAGTCATTATACAGTGGAAAAGAAATTAAATATTTTTAAAGGCCAAAATTCGATGTTAGATGATGGCAATAACATTAAGAAATTTGTCTGAGAACAGGCCATCAATTAAAATGTAGGAAACTACATTAAAATCTTATTAATTAGTTCACTTTCATTTGCTCAGTTGGGAAACCTAATATATAAATCAATTCCCTGAACTGGTGAATAGTGAGAAAAGAACCCAGTTTAGGAAGCTGAAGGGAAAGCTCATTGGTAGGCCACTTGATTAATATGTGCAAGGCCTTGGATCCAATCCTTAACACCACATATGCACGAATATATAAGACTGTCTAGATAGTGAATGAGACATTAGGTAGTCTTTAAAAATTGTGCTATGGAAAAAACTGTAACCACAATGATCCCAAATACCTGAAAATAACCCTAGCAATGCAGCCACCTGGTGGCCAGGCAAGTCTGTTCTGTGTGTAAACATTATAGATCCCTGTACCTAGCAAAGTGTCCAAAATATGAGATACAGATTAGAAATCTGTGCTATATTTCTATGTACTTTTAGAAATTTCTCTTTGGGGGAGTGGCTAAACATATTATCATTATTAATGACCCCTAATGAACATCTTCTTCTTCATGTCTCATTGGCTTCCAAAGCCTTTCATGATCTCCCACTTAAAAAACATGTCTCCAATCATCCACTTTGAAATACACTTCCTTCTGCCCTTTCCACATTTCCGGCTCAATTCTATCCTCAATTTTAAGTTCTTAACGTCTTTTTACACATTGTAGCTGTACAAGCTACCTTCTATTTGTTCATCTCACATTAGTCTCATGGTGCCTTCCATGATCCTTCTTTTTAAGTAATAAGTTTTAAATAACCAGTTTACTAAAGACTTAGTCATTTTAAAAATGTCCTTTGTTGCAACTATAATACCTCAACAAAACAAAACAAAAAGCTGAACAAACACTACACCTACAGTCATGAGAATATAGAAGAGAAAATTCTCACAGGATCCTACCCCTAAACAAATCTCACAAGGATCTATCCCTACAGGCAACTAAGGAATGCTGAGAGAAATAGAATTAGTCTCCTCTAAGGATTGTTTATCTAATAACAATTAGTCATTCTTTAAATCATATACATACTAGTAACACAAGAGGAACTAAGCATGATGTATTTTCATATTATTTAACACATATCTGTATAACTATGTATACATATGTATATACATATGTTTATGTGTATGTATATATGCATATATACATGCATGTATACACATATATACATATATGTATATAAAAAGATAGATAAAAAAGAAAGATAACAACAAAAATTAAAAAAATCAAATACACAGAGAAACCCAGTCTCAAAAAATGAAAAAAATTAAAAAAAGAAAGAAAGAAAGAGAAAGAAGTCATGAGGTTAAGAGCAGTGGGTGAGATGATTGAAGGGAGAAAAGGTAGGGGACAATGATATAATTATACTTCATTATCTTTATCATTTATTACAATTTATTCAATTTGTATCTTGGCTGTGGCCCTCTCCTGGTATTTTCCCATACCCATCTCCCTCCTTCTTTTCTACCTATGCCCCTCCCCTAATCCATTAATAAGTGAGGTCCTAATATATACATTCAGATCATCTTGTCAGCCTTGCTAGCTTTTGTGACAGGCTAACTTAAACTAAAATATATATCTATACTGTACACAGTTTTCAAATTTCTAGATAGGTTAATTAGATTACATACATTTTCTTTTATATAAAAACATATTTCTAATTATATTTCTACATATTTATAGGGCAACAAGAAGTTCTTTAGTTATCTAGTCAATCTCACATCTTTTGAGTTCAACTAAGTGTGAAGAAGGATGCCTGAAAGGTTTAGATTAGCCATTACACTGGCATCAATGATCTCACCCTCCAGTCTACCTTGTTTAATGTTCCATGTAACTGTAGCTTCTTTGAGGAAATTTAGTTCATAGATATCATATAGGAACCTCAAATTTAGAAATATGAAAAACAGAG